GCATCCTCTAGGGGGTCTAAGAACAGCCCAGGATATGTCCGCCACCATCTGGGCCTTTGCCAAGATGTCCGTGCAGCACGAGGCCGGCTGCTGGCTGCATCAGAGGGTTTCTGTAAGCGAAGCGGTGCGAAATTTAATGTTGACCCCGGATTAATAAACCCGTCCCATTTTTAGGGGGGTGTTCCCTCTAAAAGTGATGAATCCCCACTAAAAGGGGACACCCCCCTGTTAATCAACCTGCAGGGGTTTATTAATCCGGGGTTAACCGCATGCGTCAAGCTGGCAGCAGGTGCACCCCATTGATACACTCGATGTATCCTGGAGATATTGATCAGCCTTCTGTCGTCGTATGGTACACAGCAGATTCACTTTCGTGTTCAAAAAGCAGATTCACTTTCGTGTTCAACTAGTGGCCATCGGAAACCACCAGAGATGAGCGATACTTACCGCCACTGCATCAAATGCAAGCTGTTTGTCCGCCTTCAGGCCGCCTTCACTGAAGCCACTGCCCAATCTCACATTGAAGAAACGGACCCTCCGATTTGTCCGATCCTAAAAAGGCCGATACCCTAAAGAACGTTGCAAGCTAGACTCCCCTGACACCCAGTGAGGCTCTGTTTTCCCTGTTGAAAGCTGAAGGGTTGGTGCCCTCTTTATATGGAATTCCACTGGGCTTTGGAGACTCAAGCCCTTTGCGTCGTCGGGCCATAAGTGGAATGGACGGGCACTTTACTGGAGAATCATGTGGGTGTGGGTCAAAAATAAGCACCCAAAATGGAACCCTGGTAAATGGAAACAAAGACCAAAGACTAAAGCCTGCGTTCCCCTGATGGGTTAATTTTGACCCTACTCATGTGTATCTATTGGGGACCTTTACAGTGTTGTAAGTGAGGAACCCCATGATTGTACTCCACCAAAGCCATGTAAGTCCCTGGGGTACAAGGTTTTACCTAGTTTTGGGCTGCCAAAACACGACCCAAAAAGGAACTTTCACCCTGCAACCCAAGCTTTCTATTTCTCAGCAGAGAACGAGGGAATTTACCTCTAGCCAACCATCCTTTGTGGTTTCCTTGAAAACAAACCGTAGGTTTCCCACAGCTACTGAGATTCCCTAAGAACCAGCAAGACAAATCCATACACCCCTCCTCCCCCCCCAAAACAAAACAAAGAAAGAAACCAACAAAGAACGATATATATATATATATATGTATACATATGAAATTTGAAGTAAATAAATAAACCTAAGTTACACAATGGTTCCCCCCAAAATCCCCTGGCCCCACCCCGCCGCCCCGCCGCCCCGCCGCCCCTTCGGCCGCCGCCTTCGGCCGCCGAGGCGCTGTGCCGGAGGGCCGCGTTGGACGCCCAGGCGCTGGAGGCGGAGGACTTCCGCGAAGCCAGCCACGCGCGGCTGCTGCGCCTTCAGCCGAAACGGTCCCAATGGAATCCCTCCTCAAGAGGGGGGGGCTAGGTGCAAGGGGAGTAGGTGGAGAGTCTTGGGGTTTCTTTGTTTTTTTTTGGCTTCCTATTTGTTTTGTTTAGGGCTTCTTGGTTGTTTTTTAAGGGTTCCTTTGGGTTTTTTGAGGATTTGTTTTTTTGGGGGTTCCTTGGGGGTTTGCTTGGGGAGCTTCGATTCGAAGTTTCGGGGGCACACGAGTTCGACCTTGTTGGGCATGAGCTATAGCTCACCCGACCAAATCCACCCCTGGGGGTTGTGGTTTTGGGGCTTCTCGATGTTTTTTTGCGCTTTGGGCCGGCTTCTTTGGAGTTGAGGGACGTCTTTCTTGGCGGTCACAGATGTGGTGTTGTGCCCTGTTTTACCGTTTTACCATGTCCATTTGTAGGGGGGCTTAAATGCCCCTCTATCGCCTGCTCAGTGGTTTAGATTGTTTTTGTTTTACCAGCTTGTTGTTGGTTTCACGTGGTTTGGATATTCATGCTTGCTTCCGCTTTGATACAAGGTTCCGTTGGTTTTCCTTCTTGGTGCACCCATTAATTGTGCTTTTCCTGCGTCTTCGTCATTTCCCTAAAGGCTGAACATGTTTTAGCGGTCATCTCAACAGGCTCAGGTGTTAGGTTTTTCAGTGTTCATTCGTGGTCTTCTCAGTTGGGATTTCAGATGCAACCTTGAGGTTACAATAGGGTGCTTAAGCCAGCTTTCTGGGGAGCTTCCAGTTGCTCTCTTTCCCGGTTGGGTTTGAACCACTTTACAAGCTAGACCCCACCAAACCGGGTTTCCCTTTGGTCTTCCTATCCGAAGGGATGTTTCAAAGACAAGACCACTAGGTTCATGTTTTTTGCGATTTCCAGTTTGTTTTAGCGGGCTCCACGGGTCTGCTTTCACTTCGTTCATTTTCCGGGCCGAAGCGGGTCGGCTCGGTTTCAGGTGGGCCATCGGAAAGCCAAACCTGGAGTTCGCGTCCCAAGGCTCTCAAAGCCGTCGGATTGATAGGGTGAGGCACAAAACTGGTGGAGGTGTTCGCTGGTGGGTCTTGTTTCCTGGAGTTGGTTTGCTGTGTCTTCTTCCCATGGACTTTGAGAAGCTCCCATGGGGGCAAGCAATTAAACAAGTCCCAACCCTCAGGGTGGTGGTGGAAAGGGAAAGGGGGAGGGCGTTGAAGCTGCGCGCTTGCCGCTTGCCAGGGGGATTCGATTTTGTGAACCGAGCTCTTTGGGAAGGACGCGTGCGAAGCGTGGGGATCCTTGCCCAATGTAGTGGCTGAACATGAGTTTAGTCTTGGAAGCTTTCCTTGGTTCTGAGTTCGGATTCATTTGGACCGTTCCACTTTGAGGACTCCGCACCCCCTCCCCCCCAACGTGCCACCACTCCGGACTAGTCCGAATTTGGCATTAGGATGAACTGGACTGCACGACGTTTGCCGGGCGGGGATGCAGATGGACGGCGCGAGAGTTGGGAGACCGGAACTGCAAGGAAGGGCCACTTGCGCTCTGACACCTCAAATCTCAAATAGTAGCGGTGGTGGTGGCTGTTGCGGTGGCGGTGGTGGTGGTGGCTGTTGTGGTGACTGTGGCGATGATGGTAGTGGCGGCGGTGGTGTGGGTGGTGGTGGCGGTGGTGGTACGTAGTTGTGGAAGCGGCTGTGGTGCTTTTCCTTGATACATGTTAGCTGCGTTTTTTGTGAGTTGTGTTGCTTCCAGATCTTGTGGGTGAGGGTGGCCTTGATATTGAGTGTCTACCTGCGAGGGTCATGTTGCAGAGCAGCTCCCCGAGATGCCCACATTCCATCGCTTTGCAAAACGACCACCATGTTACCCCGTGTTTTTTTTCCGGCTGGCCCTGCGGAAGCCGCCAGGCCTGCCGCGCCCGCTGTTCCATGCTTCTCTGAGTGGCGCCGAGAGCGTGTGCAGACCAATCTAGATGCGACGCGGGAAAGATGAGGGACTGGAAGGGCGGCTTGTATGATCTTATTTGTGTGTGTGGCACGCGCAAGGTCGGAAGTCTGTGCAAGATGTAACTGTCTTGCATTTAGGCCGGTTCCATATTCCAGCATTTCGAGCAAACAAAACATGTGAAGATCCAACCAAAATGAGGGCAGCAGCTCACGCAACAGGTTTCCAGCATATGGACATGTACAAAGGCACGTGTTGCGGCACGTGGTCAGGCTGTTCCCAGCCGTCGACAAAGATATGCTCATGCGGACAAATGGAGCTTTACAGCTGCATGCTGACCACTTCTAAAGAGGGACAGCATTTTGCCAATCGCTATCGAAGTTGTCAGAGCGGAGGGTAACTTCAAACCGGCTTGTACTCCCAGCAGCCCGCAGGTGTGATGGAGCTAGGACAGCTAGCAAACACATGTGGTTGGATCGGGTCGGCTCAAACGTCATGTGTGTTTTGTTCGGAACACGTATGTTTCCGAAAGCTCCAACAATGGTTTCTACTTCGGGTGTTCGCTTAGATTCATTGTCGTTGGCAATCGACGTGCATTTAATATAGCTGATATAATTACGTGCTGTTGATTCAGCCCATTCCGGACTGGAAGTTGCCTTTGTTCCATGAGCCAGGATGATAACTCAGTCTCGATTTGAACTTTCTCTCAAGAATGTTTGTGTCCGTGACATGGGTCGCAGTCGGGTGAAAGAAACTAGATGGCATATTCCCTCCCCCCCAGCCATTTGGGTTTAGCTCATCTTCCTTGCCGACAAGGGGATTGTACTATATCATCTACTTTCGCAGTGGCAGTCCCGCTGTCAGCTTCTGGGTGTGCAGGGACGGCCTTTCTCCTCATTCAAAGGGCCTCACGAGGTCCCTCAAGAAACCACCCCCATGTTTATTGTAAACGCCCTTCTAGCTTCCATTTGCTTAATACTATTTGTTTATTTTCCCCTGTTTGTTTTAAAGGGAATCTATCACTACGTGAAATATTTTCATTTTTTTCCAGGGGTATTAACCAAATGGAAGCTAGTATCCCTGGAAGTCGGTCCTTGGTTCCAGCACACCGAAAGTGCCTGGCCTCAACATCAGATTGCTCACGCGAAGTCAGTGGCCACTATGATCCATAGTATTCTCGTACAGTTGTTGTTGATGTTGATTGATTCACTTAAGAGGGACACGCTGGTTGGATATTGCTGTGTGGGAAGCAAATCCGCTCTGAGTGGTCAATGTGATTTGTGTTTGGCCGGTTTCTTTTGACTCAACACCGATATTGGGATTTATTTTGTCACGATCACCCAGCTGAGAGGCACTCATTTTCTGGTCTTTCAGACACTCCGGGAAGTCCTTGGGTTACACACAGTCCCACTTCTCCTCGCAGTGGACGAGGATTGGCCAACCCTGCTCTTTGGTAGTTAGAAACACCTGTCTATGTTCTTTACTGCTCCAGCTTCCTGGTGTTTTTGCGCCTGTCTTTTCCCCAGTTGTTTTTTGGCTTTTGGAAGTTTGAACAGCTAAATCAGCCGGAAAACACCGGAGCCAAGCCAGCCACCGCGTGTGTTCCGCATGGCCCACGGGGTCGCTGGTGCCGATCGATTTCTCGCCAGGCCTCCGCCGGGTTTGATGGGTTGACCTGCGAGCCGTCACCTCAAGGCCATCGCGGCACGAGTGGCACGACCGGCCGCCGGGGATTGGTTGTGTGTGTGTGTGTGTGTTTGTTGAGTCAGCAGGCGTAAAGAAGAAGAAGAAGAAGAAGAAGAAGACGAAGACGAAGAAGAAGAAGAAGACGAAGAAGCAAACAAACCTACCAACTTGCTTTTTAGGTCCAACACAGAGCTGACTTTGAGTCGAGCAAGCCCTTCAGGATCTCATCCAAAGAAGAGTGAGACCTCAGCATGTGGGTCGTCTAAAGTCCAAATCGGACATACCCCAACAAACCACATAGGGCGGTTGAGATATGTACTCTGGATGGCCCCTCTCCCCGAGGTTCACCGAATTTGGTTGGCATGGCAATCGGCGTTTGGAGGTAGACCCTGAAATGAGTTTGATTTTGGGATCACCAGGTCACCACAGAAATGACGAATTTTGATGTATTGGGTAGGCCTTGGTTGGGGGTAAACATGGTACTCTTGATAGGGCCGCCAATTTGATCGCAGCCATTTGACGTTTGCACAATAGACACCACGGTCGGCAAAAACCCTTTCTGTGGGGTGGGTGATGGAAGGATCAAACATTGCAGCTACGCGGCGCGGCTTTCCATGGTTTGCCGTTGAAGTCTAGAAGGTTTGAGGGGTGTAAACAAACCACTGCGTGTTTCTCAATTTGGGAAGCCCTATTACAGGGGCTTTTCAGGACACCGAAGGCAAGCTTTCCCTTTGGGTGACCGGTTTGGTCGGTTTTTTCCATCGAGGCCAATTGCCGGCGCGGCCCTCGGCTCTGCCGATGGCTCCTTGGCTTAGATCCCTTCACTGTTCTGGGACGGTTCGTTTTTGGTGGGGGGCTGCAAACTTGACTGCTATTGGGATGGATCTTTAGACTTTAACTTTTTGGGAATTCAAGGGGCTTGCCACTAAGCCCACGAAATGTTAAACTTTTTGCGGAGGGGTCAACAGCAACCCAGCAAAAAGCAAAGCTTCTTACAAACCATATCAAGGGGTTGTGAAGATCCCCCGAGCTTTGGTCAACTGCTCTTCGGGCTTCATGATATGGGACTCAAGATTCTTGGTCCAGAAGCACCAGGCGGGCCGAAAACATTTTGTTCCCAGGTCCCTTGCAGGAACCGCATATCTTGAATGCAGCTCATATGGTTATGCGTTTTCGCTGCGTGCAATGTTATGTTCGCTTCGCAGAAAGCCAGTCCAACTCCGACCTGTCGTTTAGGTGTCAAATCAAAGCAAGAGCTTCTGCAGGGTATGCGGCCTAAATGAACCATAAGGTTTGAACATGGTTGTTGTTGGGAAGCATTTTACATTTTTGCTTATTGTGGTTTAGTAGGAAACCCCACTGAACTGCGAAAAATTAAATGTTTGCTCCCCTTCCAACGTCAACCAAGTGAAGCACAAGGATTGAATCCCATCTCCTCCAGTGCAGTTGACCATGGTCAAAGGCTTTGCAAGGCTTCAGATAGAATTCTGCACTGTGGGCGCTTGCGTGCCTCACAAGTCCCTGGACCCCATCTGAAGAATGTGACCATCACCTTGTAATTGTTTCATGTAGCTGCAATTGGCAAGCAATCATCTTGCTGGAGCAAGTCTAGGGCAATTAAGTCTGCTGATTAAGCACTTCGATTTGACATGTTTTGACTATCAACAGAACTTGCACCATGTTACGCCTCCAACAAACGATGGCTTCTAAATTCAGAAGCCAAAGACGTGAAAGGGTGTTTTTGTGACTGTTCAAGAAGCGTGATTTGCTGGAAAGAGCTAAGTGCCTAAGGTTCCAGCAGCGTGTTCGCAACGGAAGCCCAAATTCCTCGAGGAAGCCAAAGAAAAACCATCGAAAAGTGTATTGGAGCCAACGCCTTGTGTTTCCCTCGGTTGTTCAGGGGTTTCCTTCATTTCCCTTTTTTTGGAACCTTCAAACGTGGCGACCGTTATGGAAGCTACCGGTAAATTGCAACTTTTGAAGGGGAAACCCAGTGACCCCTGTGGTTTCACGGCAGTCGTGGCTTTGGGATGCGGCTTAAGAGATCAGCTGCGGGCCCTTCGCGGTCTCAGCTTGCATGCACTGAAATGCACAGCATTCTCGTGAGACTTACCAGTTTTGGAATTCCTCCCTAGTCTAGGTCCCCCAGCTAGGTGCCCTTTCTCAGCCCTTTTTTGGGGGGTTCCCCTACTAAAATAGACTACCGAAAAAAAGGTACCCTTGTTCTAACCTCTCTACTGGAGGACCTAGACTTAGAAGTTTTTGATTTCCTTGCTAGAGTGCCAAAGCTTACAATTGTCCTGATCAAGTGAAGCAAGCCGGCTTTGCGGGTAGTTTACACTCGCTGGGGACATTGGCCTTTTCTGCGAGCGACTTTGTATGGATACGCAACAATGTACGTCTTCCAGGCAAAGCTGTTTGGTCCAAACCGCGCCAGGAGGTATTGAGCATGGCACATGATTTTCCTTTGACACATTTCCGCAGCCATGAGTGCCTTTGATGCTACCCGATGTGAGTAGGTTTGTCTGTGTGCGTTTGCGTTTGCTTTGCATGTTGATTAAGAGAAGATGATATACAACTACATTTCCCAAACATCTAGCGCTCGTTGCTCAGTCGTACTGAAGCATGGCCAAATCAATCTTTTCAGAGCGGAAGCACAGGGGCTGCTGTTTGATACAAGCTCATTTTGGCTGGCTCATGTCCCCACAAGTTGTTTTTGTCTTGTGCACTACTCTAAGATGGATTCTACCCCCAAACCACCCCCCGGGGTTTAACGTAATATACAGCCACATGATCCCTGTGTGAAGGGTATATGCCCCGTTTGCCCTTGGGGACAGTGGGTTGGGGATAGTGGGAACCATGTTCGAACGACATCAACTAATGATCGACTAATGGACCAAGAGCTTCCTAATCTTCCTGAGAACGTGGCATCGAAGTGTTGCGGAGCCAGCTGCACTTAATGCTCTTGCTATTTTCGACTTGTGCACTGGGAGTACTTTTGCTGCAGTTGACAGAACTTCCCTGGTATTTCTCCTTGGATCCAAAGCAAATTGACTTTTTGCCGGACTTTTGGCTTCCGTCCGGCCCAATGGTAGTAGCCACAACGCGGAAAACGCCCCATTTTTCTGGTGGGTGGCAGGCTTTTGGAAGGCGCCCGGCGATGCCTTTGCTGCTCTGGGATTTGCAGCGTGGAATGCGACCATTCCTGGCTGCAGAGTCGCAGGGGCGTACCATACGCAGGGAGCTATGATTTCTTGCAACTCTCTGGCTGCCGCTCCATCCGAGTCCGCTATAAAAGAACGCTGAAGCCGCATCAGGATATGTTCTCACCTGCAAACTTGATATGGCAGTGGATTGTAATAGGGCCTTAATAGGGAATCTCCTCAAAATGGTGGGCGGACATGAATTCCGATTTGAGTGATGCCCACAAAGGGTGCCCAATCAACAGCTCATACTCATGTGCAATGTGTATGAAGATGTGATGTTTGGAGTTGGGCACGGCTTTGGGTAGTGCAGTTAGTACGGTTCTTGATGGTATGTGTTTTTTCCCCCATCGTAGGGTTGACATCCATTGGTCAGTTGAGACAGGGTTTTAGTTTCCTTCAGCATCTTTCTAGGCGTTGTGACGGCTTGTGGTAGAGCCACGTGTCAGATGAACTACCACCCCCCCTTCCCATTTAGCTAGGAACTGGGATTTTTACCCCGTGGCAATTGTGAACGCCCGGAAAGGCACGAAGCCGACCAGTCCATGGTTTCTGGTCCTTATAGCCTCAGGAAAAGCAGCAGGGGGAGACTTCCAGACTTCCCAATGCTTGTTGAAGAAATGGGGCTCCCACAAGACCAAAAAACAGTATTGCCCGAAGCTCGTGGGCCCTTCAAGCAAAAACAGGCATAGCGTTTTGTATTACACGGGAGATGGTAGCTGGCTGCATGTACCATATC